ATAATGGTATTGCACGCTTAATAGACTGCATTATAGTGTAAACATAACTTTTGTGTGCACTGGGAAACCAGAAAATTTGCGTGACTTGCTTTATTGCAAGTTTGTTTTATTGCGTTATTGTGGTGGTCTGGAACTGAAGCTGCAGTATCTCCAAGGTATGCCTGTATGCATTCTATACCAGGTCTTTCCTAAATGTAATTAGAATACAGAACAACTGGAAAAATTCTCTACCATGTATATAGTATTTCTTCTGTCTCACAAAAAATATGCTTGTATTTTTCACGGTAGTGCTAATGCCATATTTGTTGGATTAGTTTACAGTGATAGCTCTCCTTTTATTGAGAAGATTCAAGCATTTGAAAAGTTTTTCACAAGGCGCATTGATTTATATGATAAGGTAAGATTCCTGCACAAAAATGCTATTAGTCTGCTTTTATGTGTCATCTTATTAAACAATGTATTTGAGGTGCTAGCTATTTTGGTTATAGACACTGGAGTCAGGCTGCCTTGGTTCACATACTGGATCTGCCACTTAACCTTCAGTTTGCACTTTGGTGAATGCTTCTCCTTGCCTCAGTTTCTTCATATATTAGCTAGAGGTAGCAGTATTAATTCTTACTCCATAGGGTTCTTATGAGGCATAAATAATATCTAAAATATTAGAACCATGTTTGGCACAAAGCTTATACTTGTATTTTTAGTCATTATTACCATATAAATGTTATATGCTTTCTCGAAGTATGTAATTGAATACCTAGTGATGATAACTGACTGAAAAAAACAATGATCATTTCCATACCTTCATATTTTATAGGATGAAATAGAAAGAAAGGGAAGTATTTTGGTGGATTTTAAAGAACTGATGAAAGATGATGAAATCACTAACTTGATACCAAATATAGCAAATGAACTAAGGGATACGCCTGAGAAAACCTTGGCTTGCATGGGTCTGGCAATACATCAGGTAAACAGTTAAGTTACTTCATGTAGACTTTTGTCAAAATTTTAAAGGAAAATTTCATAGTGGCAGTACCTTCTGAAAATATATTTACCTGTTACCAGCAGATGTTGGCTGTAAGTGAGGTGGCAATCCTGCCTTAAGAGATACTATTTGTCCCATATACAGCAGTTTAGTGAAAGACCTAAATACAGGTCTTTCAGGTTATAAACGACATCCATTTCTAAGTCAGATTTGTGAGTCAGAACATGTGCGCATGGTTCTTAGTTAGCCTGACTTTAGTGCAAGAAAAGGCTCAAAGCCTTATTCAGTGATTTAAAAGCTGCATGTGCAGCAAGTGAAGGTGATTGTGATGAACATTTTATTATGAGTAGGAGTTGGTTACAGAGCTCTGGTGGCACGGTGCCTGAGGCATCTGACTGCTAACCAGAGGGTTGGTTCAAACCCAGTAGCAGCTGCATGGAAGGAAGATGAGGCAGTCTATTTCCGTAAAGATTTACTGCCTCAGAAACCCAATAGGGTCTCTGAATCGAAATCAATGCGATGGCAGTGAGTGTGGTTTTGGTTTTGAGGGGTTGGTTATAAGGGGCCCTGGTGGTGCAATGGTTCAAGTGCTTGGTTGTCAACCAAAAGGGTGGTGGTTCAAACCTACCAGTCACTCTTCAGGAGCAAGAGTTTGTTTCTGTAAAGATTAATAGCCTTGGAAACCCCAAACCTTATGGGGCAGTTCCTCTCTCTATAAAAGGCTGGCTGCTATGAGTCAGAATCGACTCAACAGCTGTAGGTTGGATTTGGTTTTAGGGTTGGTTCAGTCCTTTAAAACTGAGGGAGAATTTATATAACATTAAAGGTCAAGAATGAGTTTTCCATGTAAGTTAGACATTTGTTGTTTACTTCTAACTTCAATTAATTTCATCTAATTAAAGGTTGTGCAGAAATTAAACCTTGTCTTCAAGGAGCTATATACTCATAGGGAAGATAAGATAAAGTATCATGGTGTATCGTTAATGAACAGGGAACAAAAAGATCATTCTCAGATCTAAGTTCTGTGGCATGTCACTTAACCACCCCAAGTATTACATACATGTATTATATAAAATGAAAATTACAAATGTGCCATGTCTGCCTCAGTTTTTCTCAGGATAAGATAATAACGTATGTGATTGGCAGACAGACAAATGCTTCCAGGTAAAGAGTAGTAAATCTCAGAACCACAGATAAAGGGTTAGATGCACTCAGAGGCTAAAGACAAGATCTTCAACTGTTGAGGAAGGGACAGGGAATGCTTAGAATAAGACTTTATAGAGGTCGTAAGTTAATGATACATCCTGAAGGAGTACATAGGCTTTATCTAGAAAGGGAAAATAAGAGAGTATCCAGGCACAAGGGGACAGTTTATCACAAAAGCATATGCAGTGGTATTAACTAGACTGCTGGGATGCTTGGCTGGTATCTTAGACTCATCTTGTTCATTGTCTCCCCACCTCCAACATTCACCATGTGCTTTCTGTTTCCAAAATGTCTCTTAAATCCACTTCCTTTCCATTCTTACTGCTTCTGCTTGTAACTAAGCTTGCATTATCTTTCTGTTACTGCCATACTTTGTAAAACATGATCTGTGCTTGGAAACTTGGTGACTCATTTTAAATAAATGAAATCCAAATCCTTTAGTGGCATTGAAGGCCTTCCATGATCTGGTCCAACTTCCTCTCCCTGCTACTCCTTCATTCACTATAGTGTGGCTAAACTGAGCTCTCTTCATTACTCTCTACTCCTGCCAATCCCTGCATATCCAACTTCCTTGAGTCTAGCTCACTTGCCCTTACATGAAACCTTTTCTCATGGCCCCTTTTCAAAACTTGTATTTTGACTGTACATCGTTACGGTCTTATAACAATTACTATTATATATGTATATCTTATTTTTCCTCTTAGATTGTCAGCATGCTGCTTTGTACACAAATAAATGTTAGATATTTATTTGATACAATGTCAGATGTCAAGGGAGTGGGAATTGAATATCTTTATTTTCTCTATCGTGATTAATCAGTGACTATGAAGAAGATAATAGCTTTGGGGGCTCTTATAAGGACTTTTAATATTACATGTAGTTGGGGCAGAAAGAAGGAGCTCTGGTGGTATTGTGGTTAAAGCATCTGGCTGCTAACCAAAAAAGGTCTGTGGTTTGAAATTCACTACTTGGAAGAAAGATGAGGTGATCTGCTTCCGTAAGGATTTATAGCCTTGGAAACCTGATGGGTGTTTCTTAGTCAGAATTGACTCAATGGCAGTGAATTCGGTTTCTGTGTTGGACAAAAGGTAGACCGGGATGCTGGAATTTTCCAGCCCAGGAAGAGCAAAATTCCAGGTCAAACATAAACCACTGTAAAATTGTTAGCTGCTGTCCAGTTGACTCCAACTCATGGTGACCTGTGTATAACAGAATGAATCATTGCCCAGTTCTGCACCATCTCCATGATCTTTGATAAATTTGAGCCAATTCTTGAGGCTATTGTGTCAATCCGTCTCATTGAGGGTAAGATCAATTATAATTAAATACCAGATTTTTAAAGGGCTGTGAGAGTTCTGTTTGCATTCTGTTCTGAAGTGTTTATATTCTAATGTATTCTATGAAAAGTTGTACTTAAAAGAGTTTGTTTTGTTTTCCAACTTTTTAGTAAATATCTGTCCTTGTTTAGATATTGACTAAGGACCTTGAAAGGCATGCAGCTGAATTACAAGCCCAAGAAGGATTGTCCAGTGATGGGGAAACGATGGTAAATGTGCCGCACATTCATGCAAGGTAAGGACTTTGCTGGTGTGAAAGTATTTAGAATGGCAGTCACATTTTATAGAGCAAAGAAAATCAGTTGAAAGGATGTTAATTTCCTTGCTATCATTGATCATTATACTAAAGTGAAACATAAGAGAAATAAGGCTTTTCTGTCCAAATAAGTTGATTTTCCTACTTGTTAGTGTATGTAGATGTCAGTTTTGGATATTTACTTACAAAGATTGCTGTGTAAATTTAATAATTCATGTAATATATTAACTGGTGTGATTAGATTTTGTGTAATTAAGTTTCTCCTAGACATAGGGAACAAATGAAATTATACAGCTCATTTTGCTTTTCTTGAATTCATCTTTATTGTGTTTTAAAACTTTATATTCTCATTAAGAGATGAATAAGGCAATCATGGGTTTTGTTTTTCCCTTCTGGAATTTATAGAAGATATTTTCTAAAAGTTCTTTAAAAAGAAGCTAGACACCCAAAAGTTGTTGAATCTGTAGGCTTTCTTTTTGGCACTCTATTTTCCTTTTTTCCTAGAGAACAGACTGTGGGACAAGAAATAAGGAGAAAATAGAACAATTTTTATTTCAAAGAATGATTTCATTCTTGTGAAATTTCTGAGAGATATATACATAGTAGTGATGTAGTTTAAGTATCCTCACATAGTTGCTTGTAAAAAAAGAAACCTTGTGAAAACACAACCCCGACTTTCTATTCATTGTAAATTCATAGATAAATATATTCTTCTTTTTTAGGGTATACAACTATGAGCCCTTGACACACCTCAAGAGTGTCCGAGCAAATTATTATGGAAAATACATTGCTCTAAGAGGGACAGTGGTTCGAGTCAGTAATATAAAGCCCCTTTGCACCAAGATGGCTTTTCTGTGTGCTGCATGTGGAGAAATTCAGAGCTTGTCTCTTACAGATGGAAAATATACTCTCCCCACAAAGGTGATATCACGTTCTTTAACTACTTCATTATTTGTCTTAGTGAAGGAGGCAAATCAATTTAATTTTATTTCAGTTTTTGAATTATAAAATACTTAACGGGACAAAAGACACATAAATAAATAAATACATTCCTCTCCCACCACCCAAAATTCACATTTTGCCAGCTATGCTCCAGATATTTTTTTAAAGATACAAAGCATGACAGTTATAATTAGTGCCTCTTTTTACTTCTTGTCTATACCATTCTCAGAGGCAGTCATGATGCTGGAGTTAATATGTATCTGTTCTATTCATGTTTCTATATTCTGACTTCATCAGTACATACATCAAGTTTTCTTTCCTTTATTCCTTCCACTGTTTTGGAAGTGATATGTTTTGTTCCTTGTTCTTTATTAATTTTTTTAAAACTATAGAACAGACATTATTGTAACAACATCTGTGTATCCCCCCATTCTGAATTGACGTATTTTATGATTTTAGCTTAATTTTTTTTTTTAACAAAAAATATAATAGTTAAAGTTGAAGTCTCTTTGTTCCTCTCCCCAGTTCTGTCCCCTCTCCCATCCCTAAACCAAAAACCAAACTCATTGTCATTGAGTTGATTCCAACTCATAGGAACCTCCATTGAGTTTCTGAGGCTATAAATCTTTATAGAAGCAGACTGCCTCCTCTTTCTTCCATAGAGTGACTGGTGGGTTCAAGCCACCGATCTTTTGTGTAGCAGCCCGGTGCCTTAACCACTACACCGCCAGAGCTCCTTCCCATCTGTAAAGGTAGCTACTATTCTAAAAATGGTATACATTCCTCATATACTTGAGTAAAAATTTAATAAATTAAAATATATTAAATCAAGAATCATAAAGGCAACTCTGGAAAATAGTAAGAGGTAGGGCAAGTCTTGACTGTATGTGTAGAGTTTGTTTTGTTGTATATACATAAATGGTACACTAAGTGTAACATTCTACAATTTTTCCCTCCCCCCTTAGTTATTTTGGAGTTCTACCTTTGTTAATATGTTCTTTCGTTTTTACTGTTCTGTAGTATTCCATTTAGTGAATAACCAGTGTGTATCCATTCTTCTGGTGATAGTTCATGAATGAATGGTAGACATGAATGTGGTTGCTGATACTTTACCGTTATAAATGATGCTACAGAGAATATTCTTCTTGTACATGTCTCCTTAGCAGAGGAATTTCCCAGTTACAAGATAAGCTTATTTTTAACTTTGTTAGATGTTGTCAAATTACTTTGCAGAGTAGTGCTCTCAATTTACACCCTTGTGTCATTTCTCCATATCTTCATTAACATTTTGTGTTGTTACACTTTTTAATTTTGTTTTAAATGATATTTCATTTTTAATGTGAATTTCCATGGTTTCTGTTAAGATTGAGCATCTTTTCTTTATTGGCCATTGAGTTTCCTTCTTTGTTGTATTTTCTGTTTATAGCTTCTGTTTACATAGTGCTTAAGGCAATTGACTGGTAACCGGAAAGCTGGTGGTTCAAACCCCCCAGCCCCTCCTTGGAAGGAAGGTTGGGCAATCTACTTCTGTAGTGATAACTGCTTCGGAAACCCAAGGAAGGGTCTCTATGAGTCAGGTCTGACTCGACACACATAAGAACAACAACAGCTTCTGTTCGTTTTTCTATTAGCAGTTCTTTTTGTATTCTAAATACTAAGCATTTGCTGATTATATACATTTACAGATATTTTCTTCTAGTGTTTGGCATCTCTGAACTTTGTGGGGTTTTTTTGTGTTGTACAGTTTTACATTTTGACTTGGTCACATTGATCAGTCATTTCCCACCTGACTTTCTACATTTTACGACCTTCCTCACTCATGTATCTGAAATGTATGTCCTACATTTTCTTCTAATGTTTTCGGGTTTTGTTTTTTACATTCAGATCTTTAGTGCATCTGGAATTTACTTTTGTGAATGGTATAGAGCTAGGGATCTAATTTTACTCTTTTAGGTGAAAAGGCAGTTATCTTGTCATTATTTATTAAATCACGTTTGTTCCCATTGATGTATAATGCTTCCTCTGTAGCACACTAGACTACTAAGCCATGTAAGTCTATGTCATTTTACTGGTCATGTACCAGCTCTGCACTATGTTGTTTACTGACCTTATTAAAACTTTTAATAAAGCAGAGACAAGTTCTATTGCTTATTTTCCAGGGTTGCCTTTATTATCCCTGAACTTTAATAAATTTAACATTTATTGAATTCTCACTCATGTAAAGGTTGAATCCTTAGTAAAGTAAATAATTCCTTGAAGAATTTGGAAATGGAAATACATGATATTTATGTTTGAAATTCCTAGCTTTTCTTTCTATTACAGAAAAAATAGGGTATGTTAGATTCAGTTATTGGTTGTAAATAAGTGATGTTATTGATAAATGAATGAGTTGTCATCTACTCGCTCTCTCAACTTAAGGTTCGGGTTACCACCAGTAGTGCAAAGGCCAGTATTTAAATCCTAATCCTGCCTATAGACAGTATTTGTTCAAGGTATTTCCATACCCTCTAATATGGTGAGTAGTAACATTGATTAATAATAATGAGAGATATTGTGAAGAGTTCCTACATGTGTCCAAACTGCAGTGAATTGATGTAGCAGAAAGATGGTTTGTCTAGGGGATCTTGGTTCTAGTCACTATTGCTATGTAAACAGATCACCCCCAAAACTTACTGGTTCAAAATAATCATTTTTTTATTATTTTCCTCATGGTTTCTGTGGTTCAGGAGTTTAGAAGAATAACTTAGCTGAGTAGTTGTAGTCGGAAGGTGGGTGGATCTAAACAAGGAACTGGGGACTTGCTTGGACATCTCTTCTCATATGGTCTCTCCCTGGCTGGTCTTGGCTTCTCATGAGTATGGTGCTCAGGGCACTCGGTCTGCTCACATGGCTGCTGACAGCTTCAGGAGGCAGTAGTCCAGCTGGCATTGCCTTTTATGAGCTAGCCTTGGAAGTCATGCAGCAATACTTCTGTCACATTTTGTTGGTTTCCTGGATTCCAGGAGAGGGAATTAGACTCCATGTCTTGAGACAGGAGTGGCAAGACTCTGGAAAGGCTGTGGGGAGATATTATTGTAATCATATTTGGAAAATATAATCTGCCATCATCTCTGTCTATGAATCTGTGAATAACAGTGATTTACCAATGAATACTGGAACACAACTTGCTAATATATTAAGGACTGATTTTCTGGTACATTACATATTGTACAAACGTGCAAAAGAAATCTAGATGGGAGACCTGGGGATTGAGTAGAACCAGGAAAGGGCTTTGAAAAGGCAAAGGTTGGGACTGGGGGTGTTGCCTTCATGAGAGTGAGCATTCAAGGACAGGGAGACTGCATGGGCACAAAGGAAGAAATAAGTAGTTGGTGTGAGAGCCAAGTGAAGAGTCTCATGTCCCCACAACTGAATTAGAGTAGTAAGAGAGGAATCAGGTAGTAAAGTGCCTCAAAAGCTCATGCTATGGAATCATTGCAGAAGGAAATAGAAAGCTACTATAGCTGTTAGCACATTTTACTATAATGCCATCCTGAGACCAGTTTTTTATATATATATATAGTGATTTGGGTGAAAGTTTACAGAGCAAATTCACTTTCCATACAGCAGCTCACATACACTTTGTCTCATGACATTAAATACAATTTACCACAGTGCAACAGCTCCCCTCCCACTTCCTCCCTGTAGTTACCTCTTCCCTGTGTCCTTCCCACCCATGCACTCTTGCCCCTGAACAGTCTCCCTGTATGTACACAGCCCTTCTGTTCTCTCATGATTGATCTCTCCAAGGAGTGTATCTACCTATTGTAAATGTTCAGCTTATATGCCTGTCTTTTGTTTGGTTGGAAGCCATAGGAGTGGGTTCAATCTAGACCTAAAGAGCATCTAGTGGCCATAGTCTCAGTGGTTCCATAGGCTCTATCAGACCAGCAAACCTGGTCTTTTTTTTTTTTTTAAGTGATTTTGAGTTGTTCCACCTTTTTCTCCCTATCTATGCAAGATCTCTTTCAGAGATCCCCCTCTGAATGAGACCAGTGTTTATTAAAAAAACAATTTTAATTGAGCATTATATCTTGAGTTTTTCTGAGATGTCATTGTAGTTTATCAAAACCTGAATGTGAGTTAATCTTGTTGCAGTGTCCTGTGCCTGCATGTCGAGGGAAGTCATTTACTGCTCTTCGTAGTTCTCCTCTCACAGTTACAATGGACTGGCAGTCGATCAAGTAAGCCATCAGATTGTTAAATAATAGGCAGAGTGTCAGTCTCTATTGTACTACTACGTAAATCCATCGCTTGACGGTATTGTACTGTGATTTTTATGTAGAAACAGTGATAAACTGTATAGTAGGTCTATTTGATGAAGATTGTCTATATTGACATGATACTTGCCTTTACTTGCAATTTATTCTCTGTCAGATTCCACAAAAGGATTTGATGTAGAAGTATTATGTCCTGTTGCTACTGAGAAGTAGTTCATTGTATATCTCAATTATGTGATTTCATTGAACTGAAAATAGACCATAATCAAAGCTGTATTAATTCATCGCATAATGAGATAATGTTTTTGAAGTTCTAAAATAAGGAATCCCTTAGAAGTGGCTATATTTTATGATCTATACAAAATGCCTTACAGGGTTGTGGCTTTGTGCCCATTTTATAAAAGGAAATATTTAAAACTTGAGTGTGTTCATGTGCCCTGTGAGTGGTAGAACCTGGTTTCCAGCCCATGTCTGTTGGACTTTCAACACTAAAGGAGGGTGATGAGAATACACAGTAGTTTATCTGCAGCAGTAGTCCAGGGTGATTTAATATATTTGAGTAGAATCTCTTCACTCATATAAAATTAGCAAATGAGAAAATTTAGATGTCTTAATTGTTTTTGAATGATGGTTTCCTAATACTATGAAATCAAACTTGGGGGTAAATTTTTACCAAAAGGAGGTTATTTAAATTTTTTTTGTTGTTAATTTAAAAGTAAGGTAATGTCAAGTTTATTTTAAATGGGTTAGCTACAGAAAATTTTGTCAGTACAGAATTAATTAGCTTACATGATTGTTTTATTCTGTGGATAAGGTAACTTTTTACCCTAGAAGAAAGTCTCCTTCCTGCCATCTATTGTAAATTAAAATCTGTTTTTTTGAGGCTTGGGTTAAGGTTGCCATAGTGGATTTTAAATTCCCATTTCCAGGAGTTTTTCTGATGAGAATAATCATATGTGCAGAAATAGCTTGCTAAAAGTGTATTTTCCTAATGTTGATAACAAGAAATTGGAAACAGCCTAAACATCTGGAAAAATGATTATAGGGGTAATGGTACATTGGATTATTGTATAGCCATTAAAGATCATTGTTGCAGAAAAATTATGCTCTGGTAGCATAGTACCTAAGGCACTTGACTGCTATCCAGAAGGCTGGCGGTTCAAACCCACCACCCACTCCTCGGAAGGAAGATTGGGCAATCTACTTCCATAGTGATACCGCCTCGGAAACCCAAGGAGGGGTCGCTATGAGTCGGGTCCAACTTAACAGCACATAACAACAACAACAAAAAAAAATTCTACAGTGTAATTTAGTGAAAAGGCTGGTTACCAAAAGTTATCTGCTATATGATCCTGAATTTTGTATAATCCTGATTTTATTTTCATTTTTAAAAATATAGTGAATGCTAAAAAACCAAACCAAACCCATTGCCATCGAGTCGATTCTGACTCATAACAACCCCCACTGGGTTTCCAAGTTGGAAAATCTTTACGGAAGTAGATTGCCCAGTCTTACTTCTGTAGAGTGGCTGAAGGGTTTAAACCACCAACCTCCTAGTTGGCAGTCATATGCCTTAGGCACTGTGCTACCAGTGCTCCTTATGATGAACACTAGCAAGATATAAAAAGGTATGTTGCAAGTATGGGAGATGAGTAAGAGTCATTGTTACTTTTTCCTTTCATTTATCTGTGTTTTAAAACATTTCTAAAGGGGACACATAGAATATGTTCTTTTATGAGAAGTCTAAAAACCTAATTTATTAAAGTAATCTTAGCATGTGTGTCATTTTGAGACACTCTTTCTCTGTTGGTTTTTGAGGACACCGAGGGTAAGGGTGGTGGGTAGCCATGGTTCAGAATTGCTGGGATGCTAGTGCCTGGCTGTAAGCGAAAAAAAATTGGGAGACTAATCTAGATATATATTGATTTTCTTCTAGACTTCTTATTTTAACATTCACTGTTTGTGCTTATAATAATTACTTACCAAAAAGAACCAAACTCACTGCTGTAGAGTCGATTTGACTCATGGTGACCCCTCCTTGGGTTCCTGAGGTGGTATCTTTAGCTCTGGTGGCATAGTACCTAAGGCATTTGACTGCTAACCAGAAGGCTGTCAGTTCAAACCCACGAGCCACTCCTTGGAAGGAAGACTGGGCAATCTACTTCATAGAGATACGCCTCGGAAATCCAAGGAGGGGTTGCTGTGAGTTGGATTAGACTCCATGGCAGTGAGTTTGTTTTTCTTGGATTTCTATGGAAGTGGATTGCCCAGTCTTCCTTCTGAGGAGTGGATGGTGGGTTTGGTTAGTAGTCAGATGCCTTAGGCACTATACCACCAGAGCTCCCAATGATTATTTAAGCAATTAAATATTAAGTTTTGATTAAAATGATACATGTAAGTGTTTAAAAAAAATCAGTCAGTTTAGAGGGCCACAATCCCAGGTTTTTCTCTTGCCTTATACATAAGGTTAGATAACATTCTTGCATCTCTGTCTCCCTTCACTTTACTGCAAACTCTCTCTATGAACATTAAAATACTTATTACTTGCTTCAATTCTCCCCCTTCTACCTCTCAACTGTTCTTCTCTGTGATGTTAGTTTTAATTGCCAACATTTACTTTCTGTTTTCCATCCATAATTATCTTTGATGTTTTGCTTATACATCTCATCTAACAAGAACAGTAGAGAGCATTGACATTTTTATGATAATGTAAATGTTGTTCACCAAAGCACTTAGTAAGGTGATCAGGTGCCAAGAAAAGAGGATGTCATTTTCTGTCACTGGATTTTTTTATTTTTGCTTTTTGGGTTGGTTGATTTGCTTGTTTATTCCCTTTGCCTTTTAAAGGAGAATGATCTAAGCATCAAAGTCAGATGAACTGTTGTTTCTCATACTCCACTAGTTATTCAGAATTTTTCTGTTTCACTGTGCTTCATGTTTGTATTGTAGCTTTGTTGTATAGCATGTCTATTTTTCCTAAGGTTTCTAAACACCGGTTTTACTTCCTGGAGTATGCTTCCACCTACTACAGTTTTCTCTTCCCTTTGAATACACTACGGGATACCTAATCCACCTTAAAAAACAAGTGAATGTGAAGTAAAACTTTCTGGGTCTTTGCATGTCTGAAAATGTTTTCATTTAGTTCTTACATTGGAGCAAGAGTGTGCCTAGCTATAGAAGAGCAGTGTGCTACAATTTTCCTTGCAGTGTCTTGTCTTGTGCACCTAGTGATGCTGATGAGAGGTCTGATAGTGTTCTCAATCTTATTCCTTTGAGAATGAGATTTTTTTCCCTTCTCTGTAGTCTTTCAGTCCATCATGGTCTGAAAATGAGTACATCTAGTTGTGTCATCATCCTGCTTTTGTTCAAGAATTATCTTATACTCTAGAATATTTGTTTGCTCTGTGTTCCCATTTTGGTAAATGTCTGATAAAGAGTGAGATTATTTGGTGTAGCTGGGATAGGGTCCTGTGCTATTTTGTAGGTAGGAGTTTTTCCTCACAAGGCCTCACCCCTGAATAAGACAGTATGAATTTTGACTCTCGGGTTTTGCTTTATGAGTGTGGTTTTGAATTAAGTTTGAGCCCCTCAAATGCCAGGATGAAGAAGCTTTTTTTTGGAGTTCTCATATCCTCACTGGACACCTTAGCTCCACTCACAGGGCCAGTGGGTCTGTTTCCTTAGAACACTGCTCTGGTTTTTGCCAAAAGTAAAGGACCGTGTTTTTGCTGAAGTGACATCATTTACCTACCTGTCTTCCCCTTTCCAAAAAAAAATTCTCCACAGCTGTTCAATGACTTGTCTTTATGTTGATTATCCTGCTTTTTCCTGTTCTCCATTTCTGTTGACTCCAAGTTGGAAACCTCTCTAGGGCTCTGCTGAGAACATTGGCTGCCACTTCTCTTATAATATTTTCTTGTGTGTATTCTAGACTTCTATTTAACTGTTTACTGCATTCTAAAATCTCATTAACATCTTTATTTTTTAAAATTATTTTGCTTTTGTTGAGAATATATACAGGAAAACATACACCAATTCAGCCATTTCTACATGTACAAATACAGTGATGTGGATTACATTCTTTGAGTTGTGCTGTCATTCTCACCAGTCTCTTGAGTTGCTGTTGTCATTTTGATCCATATAGATCTTAAAAGACCATAATGCTCAAGGCAGACATTTTTTACTAGTTTAGCTATCATTAATATCTTTTGTTTGCTGATGACACTTCTCCATGCCTTAGCACTGTCTTCACTGTTTAGTGACTGATTTTCATCTGCATTTTGGAAGGAGGTAAGCAAATGTATCCTGCCATCCTCAAATGCTTATTCTGTCATTCAGGAAACCACTGAAGTAAATCTAGATGCAGCATTAAACTTTTTGCTCCCTAATCTGCTCTTTATCTAGCTTGATATCATATGGACCCTGAATGGTTACTGTGTTCAGGAAATAACCCAAAGTCAGAAAATGTACTAACTGCACATTGTTGAACTTGTTAGAATCCAGGAGCTAATGTCTGATGATCACCGAGAAGCAGGTCGAATTCCCCGAACAATAGAATGTGAGCTTGTTCATGATCTTGTGGATAGCTGTGTCCCAGGGGACACAGTGACTATTACTGGAATTGTCAAAGTCTCCAATGCTGAAGAAGGTATAATATAACTCTTTTTCCTCATTTTGATTTTTCCTCAGTAATGATTTGTTTTTATGATACTTCTGAATTTCCATCAATTTGGGGGAATCCCTTGCTTCTTATATAAGGCAAAAGTTCCTTTAAAATAAAGGTTAGTTGATTCATAGCTTACTGCACCTTTCTTTTACTTTCTAGTTGACTCTTTGTAGGGAAAATAAAAGTATCAAAACAAATACTGTATTTTAATTTTACAGGCTCACGAAATAAGAATGACAAATGCATGTTCCTTCTGTACCTTGAAGCAAATTCTGTCAGCAATAGCAAAGGGCAGAAAACAAAGACCTCGGAGAGTGGATCTAAGCATGGAACGTTGATGGAGTTTTCACTTAAAGACCTTTATGCCATACAGGAGATTCAAGCTGAAGAAAATCTGTTTAAGCTCATTGTCAAGTATGTATGAGGTTATCTAAAATTTTATTAAATATATGCATGTTAGGATATTCTCAGCTATAAGTAACAAAATCTTAAAGCTAAGATGGTTGGCACACTACAGTGTGTGGGTCAAATCCACTGTTTTTGTGCTGTCTGTGAGTAAGGAATAGATCTTCACATCTTTACATTGTGGACTTGTTCATGACACGTGGAATTAAAATTTCAGTGTCCATTGTTAAGTTTTATTGGAAAGGAGCTGTGCTAATTTGTTTGCATTATTTTCTGTGACTACTTTTGTGCTACAGTAGCAGAGCTGAGTGGTTGTTGATAGAGAACATACGGTTCACAAATACTTACTAACTGGCCCTTGACGGAAAAAGCTCACTGACCTCTGCTTGAAATAATGAGGAAAATTTACTGTCTCACACAGAAGTTGTAACATAATGACAACACTCAGTAGATAGGCAAGGGGATAGTGAATTCCAAACCATTTCAATTAGTTGTATATTGGAAATTTTTTGTTTAATTTTAAAAAGCAAAAAAGATTCAAATAAGAGTTTCTTAGAGTCAGTAAGTATTCAAGATATTCTTAATTTCCATGTTATTGCCATACAGTAGAGAAGGAAAAAGTAAAGAAAGAGGCATTTCTTTCTCTTAGTGGTTAAGAGCTTTTCTTTGGACACAAACCTAAATTATAGTCTGTTCCTGCCATATACTTCCAGTGTGATATTGGGCATGTTACTTCTCTCTGTTTTATCATCTTTAAATGGAAATTACCTATCTCAGTTGGTTCTGAGGCTTCAGTGAGATTTGATAATGTACTTAACATAATTACCAAAAAAAAGAAAGCAACTCATTGCCTTCAAATTGATGCCAACTCATAGCAGCCCTGTATGACAGAGTAAACTTGCCCCATTGGGTTTCCAAGGCTGAAGTCTTTATGGAAGCAGACTACCACATCTTTTCTCCTGCAGAGTGTCTGGTGGGATTGAACCACAACCTTCTGGTTAGTAGCCAAGTGCCTACATCCTGTGCCATCAAAGCTCCTTTTTATTTAATATATTTTTGTTAAGTGTCATCTAGTCAATTCTGAATCTTAGGGACTCTGTGTGCAGCAGAATGAAACACTGCCTGGTCCTGTCCATCCTCAGAATTGTTGCTATGTGTGAGCCCATTGTTCAGCCACTGTGTCACTGCATCTTGTTGAGAATCATGCTCTTTTTCACTGACCCTCTCCTTTACTAGGCTTGATGCCCTTTTCCAGGGACTGGTCCCCCTGATAATAAGACTAAAGTATGAGACAAAGTCTCTCCATCCTCACTTCTAAGGAGCATCTGGCTGTACTTCTTCCAAGACAGGTTTGTTTGTTCTGGCAGTCCATGGTACATTCAGTATTCTTCACTAATGCCGTAATTCAAATACATCACTTCTTCGGTCTTCTTTATTCATTGTCCAGCTTTCGCACGCCTATAAGGTGATTAAAAATACTACTTGTCCGTCAGTTTGTCCTGCTTTGGTAGCTTAACATAATTCAAAACCAAACTCACTGCCATTTACTTGATTCTGGCTCATAGTGACCCCAGTTGGGTTTCTGACTTGGTAAATCTATGCAGAAGTAGATTGCCTCATCTGGCTTCCATGGAGCAGCTGGTGGGTTTGAAATGCCAACCTCTGTTTAGCAGTCAAATGCCTTAAGTACTACACCACCAGAGCTCTTTTACTCACTGCCATCGAGTCGGATCTAACTCATAGCAACTCCTCCTTGGTTTCCGATGCGTTATCTCTGTGGAAGTAGATTGCCCCATTTGGCTTCCATGGAGCAGCTGGTGGGTTTGAACTGCCAGCCTTCTGGTTAGCAGTCAGATGCCTTCAGCACTGTGCCACCAGAGCTCCTTTTAATACACTACAGTTAGTGCCATTAATTTGATAATGTTTTGATTTTTTTTTTTTAATTTGAAGATATAGGGGGAAATGAAACATTACATGACATATGTCCCTAAATCAAGAGGTAAAGAACTGAGAAGTTTTTTAAAAGCCTTGTATTAGAAAAAAATGATCTTGTCATGCTTTTCTGTTAGGCTTGGGCTTTTCTGTTAGGAAAATTGACAGTTTTTCTTCCTGCTTTTAATGAGTTAATTAGCTGACTGGGTACAGTACCTATATTGCTATTCAAGGGTTCTTTGTCCTTAAAATCTCAGAGATCTCCATCAGTATTTCCACCCCCAGAGAGTGAATGCTCCTGCTAAGGTGGAGGTATGAGCTGGTGATAGCTGAGCAGGTGATCAAAGAAAAACTTGGTTGAGGATCAGAATACCTCTTTGTTTTTGTGTCCACATCAGTTCCCATCAAGTTGATTCTAATGCATGGTGACCCCATGTGTTAAAGAGTAGAACTGCTCCATAGGCTCTTGGCTATAATCCTTATGGAAGCAAATTGTCAGGCCTTTCTCTCCTTTTTTAAAATTTGTTATGATGTTTTTTTCTTCAAATTTTGTTGTTGAGAATGTATACAGAAAAACATAAATGCAGCAGTTTCTGCATGTACAGTTCAGTGACATTGATTACATTCTTTTGAGTTGCACAGCCATTCTCACCCTCCTTTTCTGAGTTGTCCTCGCTCATCAACGTAATCTCACTGTCCTCCATGGTATGCAGTAGCCCTGCAGTACCCTCTTGTTCTGTTCTAATGGTCTGGGTACAAGGTTCCTCATGAGCACAATTAACTGTTCTGGAATTCCCATTCTTTGCAATGTTCTCTATAATTTGTTATGATTCCACAGTCAAATGTCTTTGCATAGTCAGTAAAACACAGGTATTATATATCTGGTACTCTTTGCTTTCAGCCCAGATCAATCTGACACCAACAGTGATATCTCTATTCCACATCCCCTTATGAATCCAGCTTGGATTTCTGGCAGTTCCCTGTCAAAGTACTGCTGCAAACCATTTCTGAATTATTCTTAGCAAAATTTCACTTGTGTGTGATATTAATAATATTCAGTAATTTCTGTATTCTGTTGGATCACCTCTCTTTAGGATGGTCACAAATATGAATCTCTTCTAGTCTGTTGGCCAGGTAGTTGTCTTCTAAATTTCTTGGCATAAACAAGTGAGCACCTCCACTTTTGATTTGTTGAAACATCCCAACGAGTATTCCATCAACTCCTGGAACTTTGTTTTTCACCAGTGTCTTCAGTGCAGCTTGGACTCCTTTCAGTATCATTAGTTCTTGATCATATACTGCCTCCTTAAATGGTTGAACATCAATCAATACGTTTTGGTACATTGACTCTGTATATTCCTTCTGTCTTCTTTTGCATTGTTCAATATTTTGCCCAAAGAACCCTTCAGTATTGAAGAAATCCAAGTAACTCAAGGCTTGAATTACTTCTTCAGTTTTTTCAGCTTGAGAAATTTCAAACATGTTACTCTCTCTTTGTTTTCTAACTCCAGGTCTTCACATATTTCATTATAATGCTTTATTTTGTCTTCTCAAGCTGCTCTTTCAAATATTCTGTGTAGCTGTTTGCTTCATCAGTTCTTCCATCCACTTTAGCTATTCTCTGTTCAAGATTAATTTTCAGAGTTTTCTGACATCCATTTTGGTCTTTTCTTTCTTTCCTGTCTTTTTAATGATCTTTTGTTTTCTTCATGTATGATGTTCCTGATATCATCCCACAGTTCATCTGGTCTTCAATCATTGGCATTCAATACGTCAAATCTTTTCTTCAGTTGGTCTCTAAATTGGGATGGGATATAATCAAGGTCATATTTGGGCTCCCATAGACTTGATTTTGTTTTCTTCAGCAGCTTCAGCTTAAACTTGCATATGAGGAATTGATGGTCTGTTCCACAGTTGGCCCCCTGGCCTTGTTCTAACTGATGATATTGAGCTTCTCCATCATCTCCTTCCACAGATGTAGTTGGTTTGATTCCTGTGTATTCCATCTAGCAAGGTCCATGTGTATAGTTGCCATTTATGCAGGTCTAAAGATGTGTATTCAGTAAAATAGATTAAAATCTTAAAGTTGAAAGACCATGATTGTGACACATTTTAAAAGTTCTAAAGAAGTTCAAAAGTATATCCAGTTACGTTACGATGCTTTACAGTATCCTGTCTCTGTTATACAGACACAATTTTTAAAGAATTCTTCCCTTCATAGATTAAGAATTTTGAGAAATTTACTATTAGAATAAACATTCTTGAGTTTTTGAGGTAAAGCAAACTTTTTCTTCTTCAAGATAAATCAAGTTAATAACATTATAGCTATTAAAAGGGATCAATGAAGCTTAAGTTGAAATTAATTTTTTAAATTTTAGTAATTTAATATTCTGTATTTCAGCTCACTTTGCCCTGTCATTTTTGGTCACGAAGTAAGTATTTTCTTTGATCTTTTTTCAAAACTACATAAAGTTGACAAAAATAACATGTAAAGACTTAACAGTAATAGCTAATATCTGTTGGCCAGTTAATCATATTTTAATATAAATCTATAGTCCCCATAATTGAATAGCATGGGAGGCAAACTACAGCCTGTTGTAATTAAAAAACAAAACAAAAAAGACCAGAAACCAGTTGCTGTTGAGTCGATTTCTATGAACAAGTTACCTTACAGAGCATTGAACTGGGCTTATAGGATTTTCAGTGGCTGAAGTAGATTACAGGAGCTCTGGTGGTGTAGGCCTAAAGCATCTGACTGCTAACCAGAAGGCTGGCAGTTCAAACCCACCAGCTGCTCCTTGGAAGGAAGATTGGGCAATCTACTTCCATAGTGATACCGCCTCAGAAATCCAAGGAGGGGTCACTATGAGGTGGATTCGACTCACTGGCAGTGGGTTGCATTGTGTTGAAGTAAATCACTAGGCCTTTCCTTCACGGCACCTCAGGGTGGATTTGAATCTCCAGTCTTTCCATTAGTGTGAAGTACATTACCTCTTTAGATCACCCAGAGACTTCTTAGTAATAAAAGCTACCCATCATTTAGATAAAGGGGTTCTGGTGGCACAGTGCCTGAGGCATTTGACTGCTAACCAGAAGGTTGGCTATTCAGACCCACCAGTTGCTCTATGGAAGGACGATGGAGCAATCTACTGTAAAGATTCAACGCCTTGGAAACCCAGTGGGGATTGCTATGAGTCAGGATCAACTTGATGGTAGTGCATTTTTATCACTTAATATAGCACTCTGGTGGCGCTGTGGTTAAGGCGTTGGGCGGCTAACCAAAAGGTAGGTGTTTCGAACCCACCAGCTGCTCCACAGGGGAAGTATGAGGCAATCTGCTTCTGTAAAGGTTTACAGCCTTGGAAACCTGATGAAGGTAGCTATCAGAATCGACTCAATGGCAGTGGTTTTTTTTTTTTTTTTTTTTTTATCACTTAAATAGCAGTGGATGTCCTTTAGAGTGACTGTGGATACTGAAAGTGTTAAGGCAGAAGCTAACAAATATTTTTCATTTTTGTGGAGTGTATTCATGCCTTTTGCAAGGTAGATTTTGACTTGTGTGATGCCTCTCTGATTTCAGTTGCTTTATAACTTGTTTATTAATCGTTTACATTATAGAAGTTTATATTTTTAGACTTCAAAAAAGAAGTTCATTCATGTGTCAAGAAGATAAAAGACCCAAACAAATAAGTTTTGTAAACAAGGGGAACACGCTTTTTGAGTCATCTTTTATATATATATATATTTTTTTTTTCTCTTTTTCCACATTTGAGCTTGTTAAAGCAGGTTTGGCCTTAGCACTCTTTGGAGGAAGCCAGAAATATGCAGATGACAAAAACAGAATTCCAATTCGAGGAGACCCACATGTTCTTGTTGTTGGAGATCCAGGCTTGGGAAAGAGTCAGATGCTACAAGTAGGAAATCGCTCATTTAGTATTTGACCTTTTGTTAATAAAATGCATGCATAATTCATAAGATAACTTTCTCAAAGCATGTAGTGTTTGTGTTCCAGAGGATATACTGAGCCTGGTGGTATAAGTGAATTGAGGTCTATGTATCATTACGTAACTTGGATCTGACCATGTTTTCAGACTGAGACAGTCTGCCTGTCACTGCATAGGCATGCTGGTCTGTTGAGACACCAGCATCAGTGAAATGTTAACCTTTTTGTACCCATACTTTCCCTTTTCCCTTTTTTTGTATGTAGCATTGCTTTGCTAGTCTTTATTGTTGTAACATGATCTCACCTATCAACAGAATAGTTCAAGGAAGTAAAAGCAGATTCTCCCTTCCACAACATCATGAACACTGTATTGGGTTTTATGTAGGGTCTGATAGAAATCTGTCTTTATTTGCCTTTCCTGCTTCTCTCTGAGTCCAAAGCAAGGCACCTTATGTGTTGTTGTTATTGTTGGTCCCCAAGAAGATTCTGCCTCTGCCATTCAGAGTTTGGTGATTATCCCTTCTTGGGCTTATGGTGGCCTTAACAGATGCTGCTTGTTGGAATATGTATGGTTTCTTCAGAGTGACAATTGCTGGTAAACTAGCCTTAATGCCCGCTACCCCTTGTTAATTGTGGTGGTTATGTGTTTGTGTCAACTTGGCTAGACCTGGTTAAGTGGCTGGGCAGCCCCATGATGAGACTGGTAATCAACTCCATGGTGGAATCTACTGTGAGCAGCTGAGTAGCTGCCTTTCGGTATGTGGTCTGCTTCCTGTATATAAGGAGAAACTTTGAGAATGGTCTCGAGCCTGTGGCACGCTTGGATCCTGCATGTAGCCGTGTTGTTGTTCAGCAACCTGCCATGCTCTGCCGACCTTGGGACTTAAAATGGATTTAAGTTAATGGCCTGCCGTGTGGTTTGGTAATATCAGGACTGTGCCTTTGTACTTGTCAACCTTGGGGCTTCTCAGCCTCAGCAGCCAGCAGCTGTCTGAGTGAAGAAACGCCTCTAGCTCCAGTGGGCTGGGAGCAGGAGGCAGAGCTGGACCCCAAGGTTGAGGGGCTTTCACCAGCCTCTAGAGCTTGGCACTTTGAACTTGGACTTAAAGCCTCCAGATTGTAAGAATAAACTCCTGTTTGTTAAGACCATCCTGTTTGTGGTATATTTCTTGTCAGAGTGGCACTAGGTAACCAGAACATTGACAAAAGTGACCATTCCAGACTAGGGGCTTCCTGGCCCTTTGCTGAATCATTGTTCAGGAGTTATGAACCCTAGCTACTCATCAAAATCATCTTTGGAGCTCTTTGAAAATACTGTGGCCCACCCCAGACCAACTGAATTAAGAGTCTCTAGGTTAGGGCCTAGTGTGCATAGGCAAACAGTCCTCCACAGGTGATTGTGATGTGCAGCCAGCATTACTGCTTTGACTTTATGAATCACAAACTCACTGTCCTCTGTGTCAAAGTCATCATTTATTCCTGTGGTTGAATGTTGAACCAGTCTTCATTTTAGTTCCTAAACTTACATTTCATCCATGTGTTGTTTTTGGTCTGTTGTGCATTTATTTGTTTGTTTGTTTATATTCTGTTCTAACTAAGCCCTTGCTCCCAAGCCTGACAACACTGAAGCAGAGTACTCAATTATAGGGTAAAACAAAGTTGATAATAAAAATGAAAACAGGATACTTAGCCAGAATATGCAGGAAAATACGAATGCGGAGATCTGAATCGTTACAGCTTTCTTTTCTCTTTTGTAGCAGTTTGTATGTGTGATTTGTGTAACTTTTGAATTATTGTATTGTAAATAGAAGCTTTGTTTGCTCCCAGTGTGTTTGATTATCTATATTACTGACCCATTTTATTACTTGATGTTTAAAGCAACAGTGGATGTAGTCAATGTCATGAAACAAAATGCGTATTTACTGCTGTATGGAAGATGAATTTGCTCTGTAAACTTTCACGCAAATCAAAGTAAAAATGTAAAAGAAAGAAACATTGGAGCCTTCAAAATTAAAATTACTGCTTGGCTTTTTTTCGTTTGAATGCTCCATGGGCCTGTTTCCCCGTTGGTAAATGGGGATGTGATAATTCCTTCCTCTTAAAGTAGAATAGGATTATTCAGTAAAGCTTTTAGAATAATACTTGGCATGTAGCTAACATTGTTGAGCAATTGCTATTAGCTATTATTTCCTTTTTACTTAGGATGATTCTCTTACTTTTTTTTTTTTTTTTTAAAGGCAGTGTGCAGTGTTGCTCCCCGTGGTGTATATGTATGTGGCAATACTACTACTACCTCTGGTCTGACTGTCACTCTTTCAAAAGATAGTTCCTCTGGAGATTTTACTTTGGAAGCTGGTGCCCTGGTACTTGGTGATCAAGGTGAGAGACCAAAGGAAATAAAAATCTGTGATTCTGAGGCTTTTTGTTTATTTGTATAAAGCCTTTCCTTTCATCTCATTTCTTTACATTCGATTCAAGAGGCATTTGGATAGCACTGTCCTAACCAGTGAATTGGCAATGACTGTCCGAAATAATAACTGGAAATGTACTACTATCATTTTTATTTATACTGCAGAATTGAAACTGGTACTTAATGTCATTCATTTCCAGAATATTACAGCAGACACAATTATACATAAAAATTAATTAGGTAAAAGAGGTATAGATTCCAACATTTCCCATTTCGTACGACCCATCACATTTGTGATCATTTGTTTTAAAGCTTTATATTAGACTCCCTGTGGGGTGGGATTTGTTTATTTTGTTGACTGCCATATTCCTGTTACCTAGCACAGTAAGTACTTTTTCAATGTATTACTATTACTTTGCTTAGAATAGTTCTGGATACCTGGGAACTGAAATGGGAGCTCTGGTGACCTAGCGCCTAAGGCATTTGACTGCTAACCGGAAGGCTGGCGGTTCAAACCCACCAGCCACTCCTTGGAAGGACGGTTGGGCAATCTACTTCCATAGTGATACCACCTCAGAAACCCAAGGAGAGGGTCACTAGGAGTCACATCTAACTCAACAGCAGTGAGTTTGGTTTTTTGGTTTTTGGGAACTGAAAAGAAGGTAAATGTTACTCTTAGCACTCAGAGAACTTTCAATGAGAGTTTAGAGCTATAATTTTAGTAGTAGTTCAGCATTACTACTTTTGCTGTATTTTAACCCATTTCACCAGGTTTTTTTTAATGTGATTGATAATTTATAAGAAACTCAGTTGGAGGGCTCAGCAAGAAAAGATAGTCACGTGGAGCTTTGCTGCCTGCGTTTCTGTCTGTGATGCTGTGTGTGCCTCTATCAGAAAACCATTCCTGTCAGAAAACCACATGTCTGTGCCTTTGTCAGGCAGTACCCAGATCCAGTCAAATTAAGGTCATTCATTCTTTCCTGTTTGCCAGTAACCTCCATGTGTCTAAATCCCTGTTGGCCACATTAAACAGTAGATCACTTTTCCCTTTTTGAAATGCTTTCTCTCCTTGGTTTCCAGGATACTGCACGCTTCTGGTTTTCTTCTTAACTTTGCTCACTAAATAACTTTATCCTTCATAATTCTTGGACTTTTTGTCTTTTAAATCTTTACTTACCTTCTTAGTAGTCTTATCCAGTGTTATAGCTTTACCTACCTATATGCTCAAAATTCCAAAATTTATATCCCTAGCTTATACTGTATTTTATGCAAATAGTCCGTATGTCATATGTGTGTGTATGTGTATAATATACGTATATCAAAAAGAGCACAGAGGCAGTATCCTTCTCGGATGTCCTCCAGACTTCCGAGGGGTAGACAGAATCATCAGCAGCAGCCCAAGACTGATAGCTATGAAGCCAGGCATGCTGCCACCTTTCAGCCTTCTTATCAAGTCTGACACTAACCATCCCTCCCACTGTACTCACTACTTCTCTGCTGGGTTCGATAATTCATTGCAGTGGTCACAAAGAACTCATAGATGATACTCTCAAGTTATGGATTTGATTAGAGAAGTAACAGGTTACAATTCATGTTCAGGAATTCTCAGATCCTAGAACCCCACAAGAGGAAGGCAGAATCACCATCAATAGCCCAAGGCTTATTACTACAAGGCCAGACATGCTGCCTCCCTCCAGCCCTTTCTCCAACCGTTCCTCCCAGAGGACCCACCACCTCTCCTGGGTTCGATAATTCGCTGCAGTGGCCACACAGAACTCACAGATTACAGGGTTTATTAGGGAAGCACCAGGCTACAATTCAAGTACAGGAAAAAATGCTGAGTCTCTCTCCCAGCCCACCGTCTCTCAGCCAAGTCTCTTACAGTCTCTCCCCCAGCAGTGCATGTCCCTCGGTGTCTTACTCAGCAACGCGTGTCTCTTGCGTCTCTTTCCCAGCAACACGTGTCTCAGGAGCCCGTGTCTCTTTCAGCCGCATGTCTTCCTCAACCAGCAGTCAGAGAGAGTTCTGCCTCTAGGAGGCCTCCTTTTGAGCC